TGCCCTTGTTGAAAAACGGCCTCCGTCTCCCTTCAAGCTGTCCTGAAGGTGCGCTCGTTTGTGCCGCCGACATTTTCACATCCAGAGAGCATCCTCGCCGCGTGAAGACTCTGCTTCACAAGTTTCTCCCAGAAAACCTAATCTCTGATAAATAACTGAGTGGCGTGTCTGGTTTGTCAATTAACCCAGTCTCTCTGGAGTTTGCAGCAGTGATTCAGATACAGGAAGTGGTTGAGTTCAGAGTTAAAGGAGAAACTCGTGAAGCGGCGTTGGTCAGAAAAGACACTACAAACTGCTGGCGGTCAAAATCTCTTCAAGAGGCGACGCCATGACACCAACAACCTGCAACACATAAGCAGAGCCGCGTTAAAGCAAAGAAGCAGGAAACTCTCAGATGGATGGATACAAGAAAGAGTGTCATCTTCACGAAACAGTATTTCCTCACTTTTAATTTGTGGTCAACTGAGTGATAAAAATTATACTCTTGGCAAAAAAAAAAGTCTAAATTGTTGCATTTTATCTGTGACAATCACAATTTCAGGGAAAAGTTTAGACATTTCATTTAATATCTTACCTGTTGTAGATAACTGGTAACATAAAAGAGTCTAATTCCAACAGAATGGTCATCAAAGATCTAAATTAATTGCTGATGTTTTAAAACTCAGCCTCCAAAACGTTACCGTGGTTCATGTGACCACTGTTTCAATCATCTTTACACCACCTTCTTATAGTTATTTGTAAGTGCCAACAGCTGCAGTAGCAGTTAGCTGTAGCGCTTCCAGTGCATCCTGGAGGGGATTCTAGCAGGAATATCATAACGGTGCTGTCAATCATAATCAAATCATCAAATACAAATAATGAAATCAGATTAAAAGCTCCCTGTGTGTTTATGAGAAACTGATAAAAGAACCCGTCTGAAATCAACAAGTTTTATTTATTTATTTTTTTTACTTTTAGTTTTTCTACTTCTGCTATACCAGGACAAAAAGCTAACGCATATGAACAATAATTTATTTTACTTCAAAGTGCCTGTGATTCTCTTTTTGGAGAGGTAAAAAAGCTTTTGGTTAAGACAAAAAAAAGCTTTTACCGTCAGTGATGTGGTGCACAGCTGTCAGGCTGAAGGTGTGCTGACGGGGGTGGTGGGGGGCAGATGATGGAGACGGAGACTCCGGTGGTGTGGTGGGACGAGCTGAGTCCGGTGTTTGTGTGTGTGTTTGGGGGTTGAGGGGAGGTGGGAGATCAGGGATCACTTGGGGCTCATGATGGTGGGAGTCGGAGGGTAAACCAGAGCCACGTTGACCCGTTCCGAGCCGTTCTTTGGGCAGATGATCTCAGTCAGGCTGTCGGGTCGTGGCTGGCTCAGCAGCTCACCTGCAGCAGAACAAACACGACCAGTTAGAAACACAACCCACACACACACACTCTGATAAAATGTTTTCACTGAAAAACACCATCACCAACAAACACATCTTTGGTGCAAATAAACTGATTTATTTATTTCAGGCTCTTTAACAAAAACGTTTTCATCTTGAATGTGTGCCATCACTTCATTTTATTTTGCTGCATTAAATATGTTCCATTAAATAAGTTTGTCCACTAGATGGCGATAAGGACCCTCCTGGATGTCCTGCAGAGCAGGAACAGCTCCAGCAGGGGGCGCCCTGTCCCCCTCTGACCACCAGGATGAGCTCAGTCTTGTGTTTACATTTTCTCTAAAGGATTTCCCAGTATAAGCAAGTTTAAATTGACAACATTTCAGAACCAAACTGGGAAGCAACAGTAAAGCACATTGAATCGAGAAGAACAGCACAAAAATCACAACTCTACAGACAAAAGAAATAAATGTGAAATATGAAAACAGTGTTATTGAGTTCTACACATCCATTGTCTGTTTAATGTTTGTGTTGAAAGACAAAGCCTGAGCTCTGCACGTCCGCCAGATTAAACTCAGGGCACAAATATTTCTACTTCCCTGTGTTTGGTGCCATTGTTCCTGCATGCAACTTTATTTTTATGATGGCCTTGATAAGTTTCTGCTTTCAGAGGCTAAAATAGGAAAACGTTCATGTCTTTCAGTGTCACACACAAACGCACACTCTTCCTGCACAGAGCCCAGACAACCCCTCGCATGCCTCCCGTACGAGCAGAAAACAGAAAGAAACCGCAGCAGCGAACACAACGCGCCTGTTTTCACCCCGGTCACGTCCTCTTTGTCTGATAATCAGGCCTGAAGCAGATTAATGCAAATCACTGGTCCACCCTGAAAGCTCATCTTGTTGAAACTTTTTTTAAATTCACGTTTTAATCTTCTACTTAGTCGTGGTGTTTATAACATATTTGCATTTAGTTATTGGCAACTTTAAAGTCACTGACTGTACTGCAAGAAACCCTGACGCAGGCACCGTCATTTAAATAACAGAGCAGGGCATGAGTCTTTGAGACATTTGTAAATATAGAAAAGGACGAACCTTCTTCAAACACGTTTGAACTTCTTTACGCATATGGATGGAAGTACAACACTCCTGAGGTGAATTCAGAACTATTTTAAAATTAAACGACTAATATCACTAGAGGATGTAAAATAACTCATGAGACCACCATCTTCAGAGTTTATCCTGAGGAAGACGTCCCAGCTGAGTTGACTGGTTGCTATATTTATTTATTAATAATCATTTGTTCTTTTACCCTGATAAACAGGAGCAACATGTTTACAGCACGAGGTTGGACTGTGGTACGAACGTCACTTGATTTTAGGAGTCGGTTTTCCATAAATCTGATGCTGACTGGCACGACGACGACATGTGATCAGCTGCAGGTTGTTTCAACAAACTAAATGTCAGGTTTCCATGTAAGCAATTCTAAACCTGATATAAATACATTCAAGTTTGAAGTAATCTTTGATTCTACTGTTTAAAGAGCAAATAGATAATTTAAAAGTCTGAATCTGTTAAACCCTTGCAGTAAATGTCAGTAAACTCAGTAAATTCTACATATTCTTATTTCTACAAACCTGTTTTATTAAAGGAATTTAACAGTTTTGGGAAGAATTGTTGTCAGGAATTGCCAATGTTAGGACCTTCATTTTATTTTATAGACAATAGATAATTTTACATCATACTTTAGTTATTTCATTTCATGCTTATGTTTATTAAACGTTTTAATATTAAATTGTTATTGTTGCACCAGGGGTCTGAGAGTAATGTATGTTCAATCCTGTGTATGTCCTGTACATATTACAGTTTTGACAATAAAGTTGACTTTTGAATTGTGAATAAAATCACATTTTAATTTAAACGTCTTCTAAAAGCTAAGTCAGTTTCGTTTTGTTTTTGAACAAACCAGATCAAGAGACATGTTTTTCAGAACTGGTCTGATCCTGCAGTCATTTTTTCTCTTTAAGGTTTGGATCTTTCATTCTGCAGTTTCTAACCCAACACGCTTCTGTTTCTCAGACTGACCATGTTGTGATTTTACAAGTCTGAGTCCAACCAGGCTCAACTCTGATGACGTTCTTTAAAGTGTAAGGAAATCCAAGTTAGTCTCATTCAAGGCGGGACGAGGCTCTGATGATGGATGCGTCACTCGGCCTCTGTCATCATCGCTGTTGTTCCACACGGCAGAAAAACAACCGCACCATGATAATCTCATGTTTCAGTCACATGGAACTCTGTGCATTATGTTCGAGCACATGCATTACAAAGACAAGTTAATTCCTGTTTTTAGGCCATCTCCAGCTCAACAATGATTTGATGATCTGGGTTTATCTGTCACACACTGACCTGCCCAAACAACATGTCAGCCTGCTGTGAGACAGGAGGAGAAGCCTGGAGGATAATACGGAGATAATCCATCCATTATCTTTACCCGCTTCTTCCTTTTTGGGTCATGGGGGCCACTGGTGTCCATGTCCAGCTACAACTACTGTGCGAGAGGCGGGGGACACCCTGGACAGGTCTCCAGTTCATCACAGGGACACAAAGAGACAAATGAGACAATCATTCACTGAGATAATCCTGTTGCAGAAATCTGCCGCTGCACTGAGGTCGTGATGCAGCAGCTGGTGACCTGCCAGATGCTGAGACAATAAATGCAGAATCCCCTGGATTGCCTACATATTTCCCCACAATCTGATTTGAAAACGAGGATTTCAATCCCTGAACGGCCACAGATTAACTGCTGTTGAGCTTGTTCAGACTTCACGGGGAACATGAACTTCATTTTATTGCAGCGACCATATTAAAACTGTCCAAACGCAGACAGATGTGTAAAGCAACTGTAGGTATGCCACTGCAGTTACTCCACATCGAGATCGAGACATTTACTTTGAGAGACAGGAATATCTCAGTTGTCCTGGGAAATATTTTTAAACAGGCACAGGGGTTTATGTTGGAACAAGAATTCAAGAATTAATGTTTGATAAATATATCAGCTAACAAAAAGATGATTGTGAACGATTAGAAAGATGATAAACAATGAATGTCTTACCTGTTGTAGATGAATCTTTGAATGTTCATGGTTTGGAGAAAAGGGGTTAAATTCAGGCCAGATTGATGAGCTAACAGTTGTACACACCAAGCTCAAACTAAAGCAGTTTTCTGGGCGTTGCCAGTTCAATTTTCTGTTGTCCTTAAACAACTTCAACCTAAAGAAGTTGTAAAGTTTGAAACATTCACGCTGCAGCCAATTTACACAAAGGTTGAAGCAGAATTACTTTAAACGTCCTGCTTGAGGTGCTACACCTCACTGCTATGCTACGTTTGTTTGCAAATAACTAACAATTGTACGTAAATAACCAGGTAATTCAAAAACCCATGTAAATATCCATGTCTATCAAATAACGTCTACATGGAGTTTTGAAGGTTGAAGTTATTTTTAGGTTAAAGCCATTAGCTCATCAATTCAGTCAAAACTAAACTATTTCTCCAAAATGTGATCCTTCACAGATCTATCTACAACAGGTAAGATACTAACTGTTCATAAGCTTAAAACTTGTTCAACAAGTTTTAAAAGAAAGGAAAATATTTCTGAGGGAAAGCTCATTTAAGGTTTTGACAGTAAGCTCTTTAAGTTATTTTATATAATTATTGTAGCAGAGCTAAATAAATAGTTTATTTGATAAACGTCTGTCATTTGAACCTCCACAACAACGCACAACGTGATTTTTCTTGGAAGGCCACCTTGACCTTAGGCTCACCTTATCAGTGACCTGCACAGATAAAACACGAACAAGATGGAGGTAAAAGGGCTCGACGTGCTGCAGAGAGAGCCTCCAGCATCGGCTCCTATTATCCACCAAGTCGACCAAAGGAATCAATAAGCTCTTATCATCAGGCTAATGGAATGTGAGCCGCTGTAAACCGAGGGTGCAGCTGAAGCTGGTGGGAGTCGAGTCTGACTGGGTGTCACTCTGTTTGTTTTGTGTTAAACTAATAAGACAAACCAAGAAGAACCTCAGGTTTGATCTCCACAGGAGCACTTAATGCTTATTGACTGACTCCGTTTTCTCTGAAGTCACAGAGAGAGTTGGACGACGGATGCTGCCTGAGAGGCAAAAAAAAAAATAAAGATCTCTAAAAAGCCTTTGAGTGAGCTCACAGGAACAACAGACGTTTAGTAGAAATGTCATAATGTGATCAGAGCACATGAAGGCCAGCATGAGCGTGAAGGATGACTCCATGTTTGTATTTGAATCCTCAGATCATGATCTTCAGCTCGCAGGGCGTATCTGAAGAGCAACTTTCGCTGCAGCAAAAGGCGTGAGAACTTGTTCCGCTGCTGAAGTCAGATGAGCGTTTCAGCGCTGGAAGCAGCCGACGGCTCGAGCATCCGGCTGAGTGTCCTGAACGAGTTCAAGGCCCAACGGCTCCTCCTCCTCCTCCTCCTCCTCCTCCTCGTCCTCCTCCTCCTCCTCCTCTTGACTGAACAGACTTTAACCTTTACAGACCTGATTCCAAGACCCAGGAATGCAACCATCTCCCCTCACCAGCCTCCTCAGGCGGTAAGCAGGTACTAGAAAGTTCCTGGAGAAACTTTGACGGGGACTGCCTATTTATTATTAAATTATTATTAATAATAAATATTAATATTAATGATTACAAAAATTTATAATCAATACTAATTATTAATATTAATAAGTATTAACATGTTGTTAATTAATTAATTATTATTAAAATAGTAATAATTAATAATCAATATTAATAATATGTACACAAATAATTAGTGTTAATATTAAATACTACTTATTAATATTAATTATTATTTATATTAAAATAGATAATTATCAACATTAATAATTTATAACTAATATTATTATTATTACTAATTAATAATAATAGGTGATAATAGGTGCCTTCCATGCATGTTGAACCAAA